AAAATAAAATCCACACACAGTATATATGACACTGTATAATACGTGTAGTACATACTAACTGAAAGTGAACAATATGAACAAAATGAAAGTTTAGGAGAAAATGGCATTTTGCTTTAATCTTCAACTGATTTTTTTTTTTTTTTTTTTTTTTTTTTTTTTTTTTTTTTTTTTTTTTTTTTTTGGTGGAGCTGGGGATTGAACCCAGGGCCTTGTGTATGCTAGGCAAGCACTCTACCAACTGAGCTATATCCCCAGTCCCGATTCTTTATTTTAATAATCACGTTATACTACTAAGTCTTAGATTTAAAAAAAAATTTTCCCCACCACGTGGTCCTGGGATTTAACACAGAGGCACTCAATCAGTGAGCTACATTACAGGCCATTTTTATTTTGAGACAGGGTCTTGATAAGTTGCTGGGATTTTAAGTAGCACCCACTTTAAGAAACCATTTCTGGGCCAATCGTGGGCGGGCGGCGGCGGGAGGAGCGCGCGGGCCGGAGCGGAGCCCGAGCCGAGGGGCGGCGGCCGCTCCGGCCGGTCTGCGGCGCTGTCCTGGCGGCGGGAAGATGCTGCAGTCCCTGGCTGGCAGCCCCTGTGTGCGCCTGGTGGAGCGGCACCGGTCGGCCTGGTGCTTCGGCTTCCTGGTGCTCGGCTACCTGCTCTACCTGGTGTTCGGCGCCGTGGTCTTCTCCTCGGTGGAGCTGCCCTACGAGGACCTGCTGCGCCAGGAGCTGCGCAAGCTGAAGCGCCGCTTCCTGGAGGAGCACGAGTGCCTGTCGGAGCCGCAGCTCGAGCAGTTCCTGGGCCGCGTGCTGGAGGCCAGCAACTACGGCGTGTCGGTGCTCAGCAACGCCTCCGGCAACTGGAATTGGGACTTCACCTCTGCGCTCTTCTTCGCCAGCACGGTGCTGTCCACCACAGGTTATGGCCACACCGTGCCCCTGTCTGATGGGGGCAAGGCCTTCTGCATCATCTACTCCGTCAAAGGCATCCCGTTCACCCTCCTGTTCCTGACGGCCGTGGTCCAGCGTGTCACCGTGCATGTCACCCGCAGACCTGTCCTCTACTTCCACATCCGCTGGGGCTTCTCCAAGCAGGTGGTGGCTATCGACCACGCTGTCCTCCTCCGGTTCATCACTGTGTCCTGCTTCTTCTTCATCCCGGCTGCGGTCTTCTCCGTCCTGGAGGACGACTGGAACTTCCTGGAATCTTTCTATTTTTGTTTCATCTCCCTGAGCACCATTGGCCTCGGGGACTACGTTCCTGGAGAGGGCTACAACCAGAAATTCAGAGAGCTCTACAAGATCGGGATCACCTGCTACCTGCTGCTGGGCCTCATTGCCATGTTGGTGGTTCTGGAAACCTTCTGTGAGCTCCACGAGCTGAAGAAATTCAGAAAAATGTTCTACGTGAAGAAAGACAAGGATGAAGATCAGGTGCACATTATGGAGCATGACCAGCTGTCTTTCTCCTCCATCACAGACCAGGCAGCCGGCTTGAAGGAGGATCAGAAGCAAAATGAGCCCTTTGTGGCCACTCCGTCTGCCTGTGCAGATGGCTCTGCAGGCCACTGAGCTTGGGCTGGGTGGGTCCTCCTGCAGCAGCAGGCCGGGTGTGTCCACTTCCAGGAAAATGGAAAGTCAAGATGAGGCCTTCTTAAGGGCACCTACAGTTTGCAATATTTTAAAAATGTGGAGCAAAAGTAGCTTTGACTCTGGAGGGGTGTCTGATATCTGGGGAGACCAAGCATACACCTGTATTTCACATACCACAAAACCATCTAGACCTGAGTAACAGGAGAAGAATACTCGAAGCCGTGTGCCGCATTGGGTAGAAGTAGATTTTATACTTTTAACTGGGAACTTTGGGGTTTGCATTTAAATCATTGAGTTGATGGCTAAATAGCAACATTTATATTTAAAACAAAAAAATGCCTTTTATAAATAGGTTTAAGTGTACCAGTTTGCATGTGCCCATCCAAAATGATTATTTTTATAGTATCTAAGTTAAACTTACTATTTATAATGACTAGGTTACCATTAACTATGTACAGCGAAAGTACAAATAGATTTATATATACAGTTAGGTCACCAGGTCCCACTGGACTTCTTAACCCCAGAATGTAGATAGTTTTGCTCTTGATTCTCTTTATACTAAAGAATCCAGAATTGCCGCAATAAGATGAGGGGGATAGTAAGTATAAGAGTGAATGCCTGTAGCATCTGTCACCCTGAATGTGCTGCTTTCGTAGGAGTGTGACCTCAAATGTCCAGGAGGTTTGCCAACACTTCTGTGGACGAGATCAAGCAAGAAAAAGCAGGATTCATCAAAAGGCTGAGAGGTTTTGTTTTGAGGGCCCGTTGTGATTCACAGCCACCAGGTCTAAAGCACAGAACTTGGACATGAAGATCCCAGATACTCACTTATGTCACACTAATCTGAGGATTTTACATTTAAAAGCTAAAATAAATAAAAATCTCTGCTGTTAGCAAAAAAAAAAAAAAAAAAAAAAAAAAAAAAAAAAAAAAAAAAAACATTTCTGAACTTTGAAAAATGAATAAACACACTAGTTGATACTAAAGAGTTTATCAGAAGAAATAAGGCTGAGAGTAGAATCTACCTTGGCTAAAACTAAATACAGATTACTTTCTAAGCTTTACTTTTTAAAAAATTTAAATTTTTTGCAATATGGGGGAATCAGACCCAGGGCCTCATACATGCCAGAAAGGTACCCCTGAGCTATACTCTCAAGTCCACAAAGTTTCATTTTTTGCTTATCCAATACCAGGTCAATTAGGAACTCATAATTTGACAAAAACATTTTTATTAGTAGTGTTTGACTATCTAAAATCTTATCAACCATGCTATCTGGCAAGTCTTACTCCTATGAGATAATTATCTACTCTCTGAAACTAGAAATAAGTTTTAAGTTTCAATAAATGGTTTGTAGGGAAAAAAAAGAATCAGTTGTTAAAAAGTCTTAATTTTTCTTCACTGTACAGCAGCTAATTGTAGGAGTATGTGAATACTTTCTAAGAACTGAAAAAGAGGAAGCCAAAAACAGAGGTCTGGGTGTATGAACATATGTACACACTTGTGTATAGACTAAACACAAAACAGAGATAAACATTGTTTTGCTGATAAATCAGTGGTATTACTAGCTAAAATGATTAAAATACCACACTATATTTCAGAGGTACTTTGATTAGATTCCATGACATTCAAAATAATAAGCACATTCTTCTAACAGCAAAGAATCCTCCCACTTTTTATTTACTTCAACATACTGATATAAACCTGCAAGTGGAAGATAAGCTGTTCAATAAAAGCCATTTCATATATATATATATGTATATATATATATATATATATATATATATATATATAATACAGAAATTGTTTTAAAAGTCTATTCAGATAATGGATTCTTTTGGTACTAACAAAAAATTAAGATATAAATAATTGACTAGAAATGAAACCATCACTAAATCAAGATACACAAGAACTGCACTTCATTTCAGAACCAAACAAAAACCAAATAATTCCTACTGTGTTAGAAGAATAAAGTACATTTATCATAGTATACATTATCATATTCCCTTAAATCAGGAACTTGAGAGTATAGCTCAGGGGTACTTTTCTGGCATGTATGAGGCCCTGGGTCTGATTCCCCCATATTGCAAAAAAATTAAATTTTTTAAAAAGTAAAGCTTAGAAAGTAATCTGTATTTAGTTTTAGCCAAGGTAGATTCTACTCTCAGCCTTATTTCTTCTGATAAACTCTTTAGTATCAACTGATCTGGTCTGCTTAGTGTACCAAAACAAGCAGTTAGAGCAGACATTAGTGCAAGTTTAACCTGATAGTTTATTTGTCAAAAAAAGCTAGTTCTGAGGAGAAAAAATTCAATCTTTTCCTTGTAAACACAAAGAAACTCAACAGGAATTTTAAAGAGAGTAGGCCAGAATATGCATCAATAATACTTATAAACTTTCTCAAACAGAAAAATCAAGTTGAAGACAACTGTTAAAATATCTTTCAGCCTGAATATATATCAACCTATATATCTTCTTGTTCCAATCAACTTTTGTTAAAAATAAACAAAAAACCCAACAAACTTTTTATAAGAGGTATCACATCTAGTAGTGATGAAAATAAATTAGTCACCCTCCCCCCCAAAGACGCTGTTTAACCTCTAAAGCATAAAAAGCTCTACAATATCTTATACAAATTAACTAGTGTTCTTACAAAACTAAAGCAGTTTAGGACTGATGACATTACACTGTATTTGTGGTGAAGTACGAGGCACAAGAATATATGCATTAATTAGGCATTTTCAGTCTAATCAGTCTCTAAGGTTATCATTTAATTCTTGGCAATATATAATAACTGGTATGCATTTTGGTACTTAAGTCATGAGTTGTGGAGAACAAGAAGCAGTGTATTATAGTAAAAGGGTTTGTATTTGACAAACAACTGCAATGTTGAACAAATCTCTTCTATGAATTTTGTGATTTGTTTTGCTGTTGGTCATTTGTAGTAGATCCTTGATTTGATTCTTCAATATTCATGCTTTCTCCATCTGCAGTCTCTAACATTTCTTCATCTTCATCGTCATGTAGATCTTTTGAAATTAGTTGTCTAGCTAATTTAATATTCAGTCCTTCATTGTAGTGAAGCTTCCTCTTCATTTCAAATTGTCGCTTTTTTTCTTGTTCTTCAGGTGTGAGTTCACTATCCTCCTCTCCACTGCTTTCGTGTTCCCGAGACTGATACTTTGGTTCTGAGCCTTCAGCAGCAGATAATTTCTTAGCTAAGACATCTGGAGACATAGCTTCAGTGGTTTCTGAATCACTATATGCATCTTCATCCTCACCTATCATACTGTGGTAAGGAGTGCTTGGTTCATCTATTTTCATTAAACCATAGTCTTTGTCTGCTGGATGATATGTTGCCAAGATGTTCATTTCATCCCACTTCTGGGATTTTTTACTCAGCTCCTCTTCAACGCTCCGGTGGGGCTGCTCGGCCTAGGCCACCACCGATGAAGTCGTAGACGTCTTGTTCTTCAGGATCCCCTTGATGGGCCGGTGCGAGGCCGTTGAGGCCGCCATTACCGGTCTTTCCGGGTGTCGGCTCAGGGTCGCTGCTGGCGTAGGGTCCGGGAAGAGAAGGTCGGGCGCTAGCAGAGACTTGCCAGACAGCCGCGAAGCCCGTTTGGGTCCGGGAAGAGAAGGTCGGGCGCTAGCAGAGACTCGCCAGACAGCCGCGAAGCCCGTTTGGGTCCGGGAAGAGAAGGTCGGGCGCTAGCAGAGACTCGCCAGACAGCAGCGAAGCCCGTTTAGGGCTAACGCGGCCGCTCCCACTATCGCAGAAAAGACTACCAGCGTCGCTGTCAAGACTTACATGCTATGTGATGTATTGTTATATATTAAAATTTAAAATCCTCCTATATTTAAACAAAAATAAACTGCACATTTTTATTATTTATTCCGATCCATTGATCCATTGGCATTTCTCATTTTGAAGATCTCAGTTATATAAATAGTAAACGTTTTTGCCTATATTGTGCATATACATAGATATATACTAAATGTAATCCCTCAAATATTTGCTATTGTGCATTTTTAAATTTTGATTTGAATCATTTTTAATATTTTTATATTTTAGTAAGTAATCAGCTGGTTGCTTGTTCACGCTTAGTTTTCTTCTCCGTTTTCTTTATTAGAGTTATGATCATTTATCTCAATTTAGTTATTTCCAAAAGCTTTAATCTCACTTTTCAAATGTTCTTCTTATCCTAATAATATCATTTCTTAGCTTTCTAATTTTGGTGTAAAATGACTTGCATAGCTTTTATCATTTCCTAATTTGTTCACTCACAGTAAATGCTAATTAAAATTAAAAAAAAAAAAAAAAAAAAAAAAAAAAAAGACACAACGACCCCAACGACCCAGCCAACGCCGCGCGGCTGGTGACCCTCAGCCGCCGGCACTTTACCTACCGACAGCGAAGAGAGGCCGGCCTACTCTTATTTTTTTTTATTTGGAGACAGGGTCTCACTAAGTTGGTGAGGCTGGCTTTGAATTTGCAATCGTGCTGCCTCAGCCTCCCGAGCCACTGGGATTATAGGAAAATGCAACCATCTGGCTTTATTTATTTATTTGGACGTTTCACATTAGGAGCCCACATTTTCATCTTCACAGTTTAAAACAAAACAGTTTTTGCTCCTGAGTGAAGAAATTTTATATGACTTTATATCTATTACGGAACAATAAGTTTTTAAGTGTGTGTATGTGTGTTTAATGATTCCCTCACTTCTATGAGCCACAGGTTCATCTTCATTAAAGGGAAAAAGTATATTAGAATATTTGTGAAAACATCATTTGTTTCCTCAGTTCCCTTAGGAAGAAGTCAAATAAATGGAAATATATTTCAAAAAATAAAAATCAGTCTAGACCAACCAACAACTGTGTTTGTGGTAGACACTGAGTAAACTTGTATAAGTACCCAGGTCCTAAGCCACAGAGACAAGATCTGTATCCCCTGAACCTCTTTCCTCTCAGACTACCTGAACCTTCAGGATGATGACAGAAATTACTCAATCATTTCTCTCTCTCATTTTTCTTCCCTTATTCAGTCTCTATCTTTCCCCCTTTCCACTCCTCTACTCCACCACAAACCAGATATCCTCTCTTCGTCTCCATTTTTAGAAGGCAATTTCTAGTTACCTTTTACCCAGAAAATATGTTAACACATACCCCTTGACTTCTTGGCAGAAGGAGGGATGAAGTTTTTTTCCAGATGTTTTGTCTTTTGTTTTCTCTTCATATTTTAACTCTTTGGAGAGTTATTCAGGTCAATTAACTTTACGAAGCTCCACTCTCAAAGAGTTAGATGACTATGCTAAGTAATGAAATCGGTAGCTTCAAGAATAAGAATTGACACAAGGAATGACTATCAAATTACCAAATTGCTGTCCTGACTAGTGCTCAGTACAACATCAAAATTGATATGAGACCAGTTACCAGTCAGACCTCTGAAGTGTATTATGACCCATTATGACATCAGCGCTGTCCAGGAAACGAGTCACTATAGTACTGCAGAATTTCTGAAACTCATCACCTAAGGAAACATCTTTTATCCAATGGAAATTCTGTCAGTAATTTGAATTTTCGTATCTTGTAATTGTTACCAAAACTGGAGTAGAAGATATAGATAAAACAAGAAAGATTCTTTTATGTGTCTATTGATACTGCATTACTCCATCTCTCCAATGGTGCCAATAAGGCAGTATCAGGAGGGTTAGGCTAAGAGTATCACTTGTCTCATAGAAATAGTAAATGCTATATCTCATTAGTACTACTTCAATGATGTAGAAACATGTGAGATATATATTGCCATAGAGGTGTGGATTTGAGAATCTTTACACCTCTAGCAGCTATTGAATTTCCCCTACTGCTGGCAATAGTCTCATATGTTTTCACACCACACTTGTCTTTTCTGCCACTTTTCCTCAGTACTTTACCAATGGTAGAGAGAGGAGATAATCCTCTGCTTCGAAACACCTATCATTTGTCTGGAATTCTGTTCTTGTGAAGCCCAAAAGTCTCATTCTCTAGGATTATGACCCAGGGCTTGGTCTGTCTTCTGGAAACATCTAGGTCCTGTACAGAGTTTGAGGTCTGAGGTAGTTTTATTCTACCTCCTACCTGGTGTAAAAATCACCTCATGTTTTAGGGTTAATATAGATATATTCCCAGTTCTCAGCAATTACCATAACCTGGCCTCCTTTATTCTCCTTCCACCCCATGAACTTGTTCCTCTGGGCTTTCTCTTTATTCAGAATAGCAACTAAATAATAGAAATATTTAACAATGACCCATTCTGTAAGCCACTAAAAAAATAACAAATAAGGATCATCATACATACATCAAATTGGTAACAATTAGAGGGTCAAACTATATCACACAATTATAAGGATATAGGGGAATGAGGAATCTTCATGAACTAAAATAAAACATTGATTTATATAGGTATACTGGAGAACAATTAGGTAACATTCCATAAAATAAAATAAACATATAACCTATGACTCTATAATGTTCCCTTAAGGAACTTTTACAAGGTTGACATCCACTGTTTGGGGGAATTTGAAATTTTTAGATTCTAACTCAAAATGATTGAATAATTAAATATAGAATTCATTTTTAAAATATTTTAAATTTTTTTATTCTAATTTGTCATATATGACAGTAGAATGTATTACAGTTCATATTATACATATAGAGCATAATTTTTTTTTATTTCTCTGGTTATATACAAAACATATTCATTTCTAAAGATAAAAGTCATGCTGATTGAAGTATGCCATGGCGAGGAGCATCAGGAGGGAACCCATGACCAGGGATGAAAATAACCACAAGGTTTCTTGAACAGGCTAGTATATAATACACTAAGGATATTATTAACTCAATAATCCACAATGGTTAAACAAAACAAAGTTAATAATTTCATCCAGCTTGAAAAATGACTCAAATTAGGTCTAAACCTAAAGAAAAAAAATGGTTATTCTTACTATAAGAGTTTCCTATTTCCTCTATAAATACTTTCTACAATTTCATGGCTTAAAATACAAATCATTAATCTTTATAGTTCTGGAATCAAAAGTCTAGTATGGGATCTAAAGCCTAAAAACAGTAGGGCTGCTCCTGTCTGGAAATTGTACCCAAGGATTCCCCACCTGCATTATTTTTTTTTTTTTCATCTTCCAGACCTGCCAGCAATCCTTCACTCTTGTTCACTTTCTTCATCTTCAAAAAGCATTACTCCAGTGCTGGGAGCCATTAGCCAAGTAGGTATGACAATTTCCTTGCCAGCGTACCCCATGTTGCTTAGTGGAAGGACTCGTGGAAATAGGACATTTTGCAGTGACATTGAATGTAGATGACCTTGCTCAAGGACCAGGGCGGATTAGGGTGTTCCCGGTTTAGGATAATTGGGTTTAGGGCGTTCCAGTTTAGGGCATTCCAGGTTTAAGATTATTCCTGCTGGGAATAGGGCGTATCCTGCTGCCTGAGTTCCCCTTGAGTTCTCACGGGATTCAGAGTATATTTTGGGAGACAGAAGCCCAGTGGAGGTGATTTGGGCAGAGAACGTGGATTTCCCCAGAACGTGATTGTAGACGGCTGGTGTGAGTTCGGGAATAAAGAGTTGCTGTTTGAATCTACAAGCTGTGTGGTGGCTCGTGATTGTGTGCCCAGCCAGACTGCGGCACTCCAGCATATGCTTCCATTGTCGAATCTCCACTCCAGTTGGCACCCTCTTGGCTGTCTCTTGAAGACCATTGTGATTACATTGGCCACACCCAGATAATATCTCATCTGCAAAGTCTCTGTTATCATACAAAGTAAAACAAATTCATAAATTCTAGGAATTCGGTGGTTGACAATTTTGAGGAGTAGGAAAGAAAGTTCATTCTTCATCCCACTACAATACAATAAAGTCAGAATGTTTCAGAGAGAATTTAGACTCCTAAATTAAGCAAAACAACAAGGAAGAAAGTGACATAACAACTCTGTAAGTATATTGAATAAAACGAAGTAGAATGAAATAAAGAAACACAATTGCAATTTGAAATTAAACATAAATTAAAGTAACAGAAGGACAATTACCTAGGAATGTTTCATGGTAGAAAACTTAGGCAACCAGATTAAATGAACTACACAAAATGCAAGACAAGATGATAAGTCAATGCAAATAAATGAATATGGAGAATTTAGAACTGTGGAAAACAGGGATGTCAAACAAGTGTATAACAGAATAAATACTCAAATTAGAATCATACAGAAATGAAATAAAGGTTAAAAATTTAAAACTGGGCCTCGGGATCGGCGTGCTGCTGGATGGAGACTGTCCCGACGCCGAGGAGGGCTGCGCGGGGACGGGCGATGAGTCCACCCGGCTGCCTCCGAGAGAAGAGTCCGCAGGAGAGGTAAAAAGGCCAAGGATATTATCAATGCAGCTCGGGAAAGCCTTGCGAACATGATAGGTGGCAAGCCTCAAGACATCGTCTTCACTTCTGGGGGCACTGAGTCGAATAATCTCGTCATCCACTCCATGGTGAAGTGCTTCCAGGAAAGCCAGACCCCGCCTGGGGCCGTGGTGGAGCAGCACAGCCCTGAGGAAGGGGCCAGGCCCCACTTTGGCACTTGCACCGTGGAGCACGACTCGATCCGCCTGCCCCTGGAGCACCTGGTGGAAGGACAGGTGGCTGCCTGTGCCTGAAATCAGCCAGCGCATCAAAGCCCTGAACCAGAGGCGGGCAGCTTCCGGCCTGCCGCGCATTCTGGTGCACACAGATGCTGCCCAGGCGCTGGGGAAAAGACGCATGGACGTCGAGGACCTAGGTGTGGACTTCCTGACGATCGTGGGGCACAAGTTCTACGGCCCCAGGATCGGAGCACTTTACGTCCGAGGGCTCGGTAAACTGACCCCGCTGCACCCTATGCTGTTTGGAGGTGGACAGGAGCGCAACTTCAGGCCAGGGACAGAGAACACTCCCATGATCGCCGGCCTCGGCAAGGCTGCTGAGATGGTGACTGAGAACTGCGAAGCTTACGAGGCGCACATGAGAGACATCCGCGACTACCTGGAGGAGAGACTGCAGGCTGAATTTGGTAAGAGAATTCATTTGAACAGCCGGTTTCCAGGAGTCGAACGTCTTCCCAACACCTGTAACTTTTCCATCCAGGGACACCAGCTTCAAGGCTATGTGGTGCTTGCACAGTGCCGGACGCTGCTGGCCAGTGTGGGGGCTTCCTGCCACTCAGACCAAGGGGACCGGCCGTCCCCAGTGCTGCTCAGCTGTGGCATCCCCTTCGATGTGGCCAGGAACGCGCTCCGGCTCAGCGTGGGCCGCAGCACCACCAGGGCCGAGGTGGACCTCGTTGTGCAGGACCTGAAGCAGGCCGTGGCCCGGCTGGAAGGCCAGGCCTAGTGCTGGGGCCGCCCTTGCCCTCGGTGGCCAGGACAGGGCCGTGGTCACTGCGCCCATAGGAAGCCCGTTGCTGAGCGCTCGGTGTCTGACTGTGCCACTCAGCTGCGCCAGGGCCACACTTACTTCCTTTGATCCTCGCTGTCATGGAGTACCCAGGCACAGGGGTGTCCGTCCGTGTGCCTCCTCCCCTGAATGTGGACTGATGCAGAGATGTCCTGCCCAGCCCAGCTCCTGACAGGCCCAGCACACCAGCACCCACGTAGGACTGTCCCATGGCGCTGCCAGAGGCTGTGTGGAAATGGAAACGCTTCTCCCCTTGTCCCTCTGGGCACTCAGGACTCCCACCCTCCGAAGGCTGGCTTTATCCAAAAGATAAAATCCACTGCCAGTAAGCTGCTGTCAAAGATAGGAAACTATGGCACCTGCACCATGTGATGTGGCCTCCCCTGACCTCCGTGTGCAGTGACCCCCAGATGGGTGGTAGCTGCTGCTCTCGCTTCCCTGGCCCCACCATCATCCTGACGATGCCTTGTCCCCGTGGGACACCTTCCTGGCAGACAAGCATGGTCTGCCCTCATGGTTCTGTGGGCCACTGTCCACTGCCCTGCCCAGCCCCCCATTGTGCCCGCTTCCCCCTCTGCTTTCTTACTCAGGATTCAACTCCAGCGTCACTGCTGTGAGTGTGTGCAATTCCGGGTCACCCCGAGGTGGGGGCCAGGTCATCCCTGACTCTCCTTACTGTTTGCAAAAGATTTGTTTATCCTCACAGAATGTATGGCATACACATCAAATGCCAATATTTACATAGGAATAATTTTCAGAGAGTAACATTTTTAATGTGCTTTTAAGGTCCAAAGAACTATAGGATGATATTGAGGAAAGGATTATCAGAAATTAAATGAACTAATTAAAGATTTCCATGCCTACCTGGAAAAAAAAAATTTAAAACTGGTATATCAATTTAAGCTAATGTAAGATGAAGGGAAAACATTAATATAATTAATTCAAAGGTGAAAGATATTTAAAAAGAAAAGCCAAATGATAAACAAAGTATTAACAATTTAAACTTTTAATACAGCCAACTCTAAAATAAATAGAAATGGCATGAAATTGATAAGTGCAAATTTCAATGCAAGAAGCAAGAAGAACCTTGACAGGAACCATCATGAAAAGCTAATAGAAGTGGGATAGGGATGAACTGGATGGATCCACTTATATTATACATTATCCTAGAATAAGGTTAAATCTTCAGGTCCTTTATGCACTGTACTGCTTCTGAATTTTCTTCCATCCTGTCTAACGGACAGAAGACAGACAGAGGTAGGAACATGGGGTTAAGCAAATGATTCTATAACAATGGGCCCACTGTGCTGAGCCTCACTTGCTTTCTTTTCTAAGGAGCAATTTACCTGTAGCCCTGCCTAGCTTACATTTACAGAATATCACATTCTTCAGCAAACTACCTGTTATGTGCAGGAGAAATGCAAACCTGAAATAATGTTGATAAGAGAAACCCAAGTTATTTTGAAAAAGGAGGCTTTTGGGATCTTTTTCACAAACCAGATCCTGAAACTCAGGGAGATAAACATAATTCGTCCTAGCCATAAAATCTGTAAGAATTTATAGTTAAGAATCTCATAAGTATTTTGGTCAGCATGAACCTAGGTGACCTGGAGTTGTCATGGCAATGGGGACTTAAAAGTCTGACGTCATCTTGCTTTTAGTCAAAAGTCAAGTGGTAGACCTGGGCAGAACTCTTTAGAAATTTCTTTGGGATCCCCAATAAAATTGGAGTGTAGGAGAGGCATACTGTCCCTCTCCTCTCTGAGATGACCCACTCTTTCCCTTTAGAGTGTTCTCTTTCTCTTTTCTTACCCCTTCCATAAACTTATGTCTGGAATGGAGTAACATGTCTGAAATCTTTCTAACTCAATTGCAAGAATCAGGGCTTGCCAGGGGGGTCCTTATGCTGTCTCAGTTTCCTGGAAGGCCCCAGCCCTGTAAAATTACCAGGTGCTTCAGCAGCATCTAAAGTTTTGTGGTATCGCTACATGATGTTTCTCACCTTTTTTTTTTTTCCCCCCTAGCTCTTTTCCTTTCTAGAAAACTCACATAGTATCCTGGGATTAATTATTATTGTATTTGGTGCAGTGTGTGGTTGATCCTTCAACTTAAAAGTTTTTCAGATCAGAAAGTTTGATGTACATATTATCTCTGTATACCTGATGTAACCTGGTATTAGATCCCCAGTGCCATTTTCTAAACCAAAATAGGCCATATGTGGATAATCATGAGATTTTAAGAGCTAACAGAGTTGTCCGTATTTCAGTGTCCATCAGCGTTACTTGAACATGCATCCAAAAATGCTTGACAATTAAATCAAGCAAAGTCAGAAATTTTTCAAAAAGTCTTATATGAATATGATAAAAAAGATGAGATGAACACTGAATCCCTTAATATACAAACATAAGACAAGTATAGAAATTATGATCTGAGAAAACAGTATGAATTTTTAGGACTTTCACAGAGTAGAAATAGCTACAATAACAGAAAATAAGGACAGAGAAAGAGGGTAAGATGTGGTAATTTCTTCAGCTTTAATGTTAGAATTTAATTTATACTAATTAGATTGAAACTTAACTTTGTATCAATTTCAGTATTTTAAAGCTTTATTCTTAATTGCATGGGGGATTATGTATTAATGAATTTGTTTTTATTAAACATTTAAAGTTAAAAACACTTAGATTCATTCCAGTTTCATTTTTTTATTCAAGAATTATTAAATTTATTATGTGATTTAAATAATTATTGTATGATTCAATTTCTGGAGAATAACTTCTGTTTCTCTTTTCAATATCCATTCCTCATATCATATATTTTAACATTATATTGAAATATATATATATATATTATATATTTATAATATATATATATATTATATATTTATTATATATATTTATATATATATATTTATTTATTTATAAAGAGAGAGAGAGAGAGAATTTTTTTAATATTTATTTTTATTTATTTTTATTTTTTTTTGACCATTAAGTAAACATCACAACTTTAATAAATAACATACATGAAAAAGCAAACATTAATTAAAAAAACTCCTTATACCTAACAAAATAATTTCTTATATCTGATGAAGTGTTTGGTTGGATTTATCTTGGCAGTGTTTATTTTTATAAAATGCTTGAATTGCTTTTACTCCATTCTGATGAAATTCCACTTCCTTGGAATCACAGAAAAGATGAAACCAATACTGCTATAATATTGTGCCTTCCTGAAATGCTTCTATCCACTTCTGAGCTGAGTGAGCATCATCTGCTTTGAACACATAAAATAACATGTTTTTGTGCAGTAACTGAAATACTTTAGACTCTGAATTCTCATCTTTGACTTGAGTGACAGTGAATCCTAACAAAGGCTGGCTCTCCAAAGCTGCCACATCCTCACTTGCAGCATATGTATACAACACTTTATTTTTTATGACAAACCACAAGTGTTTCCATGGTTTCTTATTGCCCTTTGATCTGTACAAATAGCCACTCATAGAAGAATCTTCTGTGTTTGCTGATACTTCTTTGAGAGCGGCTGGGATTTTTTTCTGTTTCCTCCCTGATGGAATACTATGTAAGACTGATGATAAGGCACTTGAAGGAGATTTGTGATTCCCAGGAGATCCAACCTTAGGGGAGTGCTGGCGATCTAGTTTCTGCAACTCTTGGAAACAGTGTTCACATACTCTTGCTGGCTGATTTTTCAGGTAATCTAAGCCATACTTATTTGATGAACAAGCCTGGCATACAATCTTTCCACAGGCCCGGCAGTGGTGTCGTCTCCAGGTCAGAGTAAATTTGCTTGTGCAGATCATACACATTGTGGCTCTGGTATCAGGAATCCAGATGGGAGCCTTTGATCCAAGGGGACTAACTTCATCTTTATTTTCTGAGTCAGCCTCCTCGAGACTCCTACTAGGACAGAAAGTGGTTCTTTTCTTGGCATACTCTTCTATTGACCTGGAAATTTCTTCTAGCCATTCATCCCTTTCAGTGGCAGAACTGGCTGAGAGAATGAAGGAACGTTCAACACTTTCAATCTTTAATTCATTCTGATATGCTTCCTGGGTGGGTTTTCTGACCTTCATTCCAGCCAATGAGAGCATGTTGTTCAGTTTATACATCCCAGATTGTACCGGTGTTGTATACAACAGGGCATCATTAAACAGGAAAAACATTCGGGGCTGCATGACCTTCCGGGATAGCTTCTTCAGAATTCCTTCTTTGAGAAAAACCCGTCCAGGCTGCACTATTTCATGGTGTCCATTTAAGCTGTACTGAATTTGCATAAGTTTCTGAAAGTTGTCTCCTTGCTTCATGGTGTCGTTGGCATGGTTTGCTACCTCTATTACAACTGCAAGGGCATCTTGTGTGTCTCTGTAATCTCCAGAATCTTCTAAGAGATTCTTCAAATAATCTGTCAGCAGCAGCCTGTACTGAGGGATCCTCTGAACTGGCTTGAGCAGGTAGTGCTTGAGGGCCAGATTAGCACAACGCGGGCTCATCTCAAATTCTCTAACAACAGCAGCAAAGCCTGGGTTTTTCTTGCATTGCTCATCCAGCAAAGCTATATTCTTATCAAATTCTTTGATATATGTAGAATACATTTTTAGATATGGCCCCTTCTTTACAAAGATATCAGCAATTCTTTGTTGTTCGGTCCAATTCAACATTCGTTCCTCCAGTTCTTTCAGGAGATCCCGGTTGAGCTCATAGAGCTGAGGCAAGTAGTACAAGATCTGATTTAGGATCCGATCCTCAATCACTGGCTTCCCAAGTTGCCTGGAAGCATGGGCTACAGCATCCCGGAAATCAATATGCAGAAGTTTTAACACATCCACAAATACTTTCTCTGAGCTCATGATCTCCTTGGCAATATGATGAACTTTACTTTTGATCCCAGCATCTTCATCCTGTTTATCCTCCAGTAGTTCAGGCTCTCCTTTGCTGGATTCAGAGCTGACATCATCTTCATCAGAACTGTCAATGACTTCCTCCTCATCAGAGGGTAGGTCACCAAGACCAAGGTAGAAATCATCCTGTTCCTCCTGGGATGTTCCAGAACTGCTGAAACGCTGATGTTTGGGTCCAAGTTGCCACTGGCCATCTGGAGCTTCATATGGTTCTTCTACCTCATACACATTTGCATCAGTGTCCTCCCCACTGCAGGAATCCTGCCATTCCAACTCTCGAGTTTTCCCTATAGCCATAATAAATGGCAAATTTTCATACTCTGGTATTTCCTCATAATGGCGTATATTTTCATATTCTGGAGCGCAGCTGTTTGTAAGAGACCTGCAAACCACCTGACACGATGACTCCTTGGAGAGCATTTGGTCATCTAAAGACTCAGCTCTCAGACCATTAACTGTGCTGGTCTGGCCCCGTGACTTCTTCCTCTTCTTTTGAGATTCCAGGCTGTAATTATCTGCAGAATATGCCTTGATGGGTTTACTTCTCTTCTCTTCTCCCATCATGAGGTCATGCCAATTACTTTCAATCCCTTTCTGCTCCCCACAACTGCCTGTGTTTGTGTCTCCGAGCTGGCTACTCTTGGACCAAAACTTCTGAAAATCACTCTTCATGAAAGAGATGGACAGTTTCATATTGAGCCACTTCTTAAGAGAGGTTTTCTTTGGAGAATCTTTACAAGGCTTAGTGCACCTGTCCATATCCACAGCAGATAATGATTTTGCTCTAGGCTTGGTGAGGGCAGCGGGAGGCTCACTATGTGAGGATGTAGTAACAGACTTCAAGGATTCTGGGTTCCCTAAAAAGGGTAAAATAGGATGAGGTAATTTCCACACAGGCTTTTCTGAAGTTTGTTTAGGCATGTCAAAGGGGGATGACGATGACATACCATGGTTTGAGGCACACAAATGATTTCTTTCTAGAACCTTCTCTGAATTTTTTTCTTCATTTGAGGGATATGAACTTTTCTCCACAAGTTCCTCCGAGGCAGCCTTTTTAAGTACTCCTGCAGCAGGCAAGCTGTGTCTTTGAGGTTTTTTGGGGACAATTTTTGAGGAAATTTCCTCTGTTACTATAGATTCCTTTTGCATTTGAGGGACAGACACTCCCAAGTTACAGGCAGTAGGCAGATGTTCATTGTACGTTAATTTGAGTTGCTTTGGCAGGCTCAAAGATAGAGTACTGCATCTTATAAAACTGGTCCCTTGGTCCGTGGCAAGTGCCATGCTAGCACCGTCTACTGATGTACCATCAGAACTCAAATTAGAGTCTGTATCTAAAGAAGGTGCCACTTTTTCAAAGGAAGATGTTTCCTGACACATGGCTTGTGAATTGACTAAATCTTGACTGTCATCGTTGGAGTTGCTATTCAGTTCACTATTATTTCCTGGTTTCACTTTGTCCACCTGTTCTTGGTTACACAAAACATCCTGATGAAGAACACTGACTTTGTTGTTCTTCAAACTGTCCTCAATAAGACAAGACGAGCTGTTGTTGAAATTCTCTGGTTCTTCAGTACTTTCATTAGGAGTGTCTATATACTTTTGGCGTAACAGGCAAGCAGGACGTGTTTTTCTGGGCTTGGGAGTTGGAAATCTGGGGGTACACGGTACTAAATGAATTTCTAAGGGACCAAGGTCTTCAACTTCTGTTTTCTTACTAACTCCATCTGAAGATATAAAAGTATTCCTTTTTCCATTTTCTAGAGCTTCTTGATCAGATGAATGAAAGTGACTATTTCTTTTTTCACTGCTGTTCTGACAAGTTTCAGGACTTTGAAACTCATCCCTAGGAAGCTGTACGTGGCAGTTGTGATGAACAGGAAGTTTTACAAAGCTCGACAGAGAAGGTGACAAATCTGCAAGTTCAATTCTGAATTGTCTGTTGGAATTACAGCCACCATTCCTCTCTGGGTTGTCTGTGGATCTGTGCTTCTTCAGGGAACTTACAGGTGACATCTGTTGTGTTAAAACATCTTTGAGCTTTCCTTCTAGGATGCTTGCCTTTAAAACTACCCCACTCTGGTTCTTGTGTTTTTCACCACGAGAATCCCACCTACTCTTGGTTTTTATAGTCAAAGAGGACTCATCAATTTTACTATTTTGTAAATTTTCTTTCATTTCTAGGGGCTCTAAAACAAGCTGCTTTACATATGAATCTTCTCTATTCCCAAGCTTATGGACACACTCAGACCTGCAGGAATATATTGGTAAAATATAATCACTGCTCTGATCCTCAACATTTTTGCAATTAAAGTTGTCAGTGCTTTCAGGTAATTCCAGTTTATGCTCCTCCAGGTTCACAGAGATTGTTCCTGATGATGACTGCCCAATGTCTCGGACAGGTGGGCTCTTCAGAACTTTCGGTTTCGGTGCGATTGCTGGTTTGGTTTTCTTTGTTGATTGTGGACCACTAGCAATCACAATGTCAGGTTTAGGTGCAACCGGTGGAGGAGATGGCTTATTATTTGCTACCACAAACTTTGGCTTGGGGGCCACTGGTGGCTTCTTTTTTTTTTTTTTTTTAAAGATTATAAAATTGGTTTATTGTAAAAGCAATTCAAGAATAACCAGTTAAAACCTTATCCCCATACTACCCAATACAACCAAAAAGCATTAAACACTTTTACATTAGGAACAAGAACATAAAACAAGAAAGACCACATCAAAGCTATGATTCAAACTCAAAAAGAGAAAGAACTCTTAAATCTCTTCCAGGTCACTACAACGGTATGATAAGATCAAAGCACTATGTCAGGTACACAGCACTGCTACAACACTGAGGTATAACTGGGCAAATTAAATCTGGGAGGACCCGAAGACTATGTATTTTTGCTTTGTGGGTGTTCTTAAGTGATTGAAATTTTAGGAACAACTGCCTTTAATGATAGCAAGATGCAAAATAAGTCTTTATTGAAGAGAAAGTTTATAAAGTTTTCTATCAAGGTCCCAGTACTCTTCACAACCCACTCCCACCTTCCCACCCTCCCCCTAAGCTAAAGCTACTCTGCTGATATATAAGATATGATTTTAATTTGTGACTTACTGGCAAATTATAGGCACTAAGTAGCTCTGATCTGCACATTAAAAACAACATGCTATCTCATCCAAATGCTCAATTATGCATTCTAGGTAGAATTTCATTATTGTTCTAAAACTCAATGCATTTGCACACTGGCCATCCCCACCCCAACTTGATTCAACACTGAATCTTTCTGCTGTTTTTAAGATAAAAGCCGAGTCAAATTATTATGAACAACAACCCATGAATCATTATATATAATACAGTGATTGCATTTTCTTGAGCACTGAAAAGTACTTAAAATAAAACTTCTTACTTCCACTTTTGCACTCCTCCAAATTGAAGGGTCAAAATACTTGGATTTTGTAATTGGAAAAAGGAAAAAAAAAAAATCTACCTTCCGGAGCTGAAGCTTTTTCATAGTAGCTGAACCCAGGAAAACAGATTCTGTCTGTTATAAACCCTTGAAAATAAGGGCTTATGCTAGAAGCACTGAAAGACCCTTAAATCACAGAGATACTAGCTGGTACCACTCTAATTCATAACCACTACTTTATAGCTTATATATTGAAGAGTAAATTCATGCTCACTTTGTTCATTAAAAAATAGTCTTTGGAAACCATTATTACTCCTGTAGACACATACTCTAGTTATATCTCTTCCTGTAAAAATAAAGGTATAATCATGATTATCTCTACTACTTTGCTAAATTCAACAACCAATATACATTTATTAATCTGATCACTTTACCAGCTAACTCATGACCTTATATTAGTCTACATACTACCTAGAGGTTTAATTTTCAGCATGTGAAAGTAGGAGCAAGTTTTGTTAAGAACAATCCTGTAGGGAATGAGGATGTAGCTCAAGCACTTGCCTAGCACAAGCAAGGCCTCAGATTCAAGCCCCAGCACTTGGGGTGGGGTGGGTGGAGGTGTGGCTTCGGGAGGGTTGTCTACTCTGTTTACAAGAACAATTTTATAGAAAATATTTTAATCTAGTCTTCAATGTACTCATTATAAATGAGAACTGAAGTACCAGAGTTTACTTCCAAAACTAAGGCGAGTGTAAATTTCCAAAGCTGAAGGAAGGTGAGTTGCTGTAAAGCTCACTTCTGTCACATACATCATAAACCTACTCAGTGATTTCTAAGACTCAAACTTGTACAAGGGAGAAAATAAAACCATTTCTAGTCTGCTCCTTTCCAATTCATCAGGTATTTATCATGTGCCCAGAGAGCAAAGAGTATTCCTTTAGGCACTATCCTTAGTAATAGCCCTTTTAGAAGACAAAACTATCTCAAACATCTGCAGATTGTCCCAACCAGATTAAAACTGCTTGTGAGATATGCACTACTAGTCATGTATTATAAATGTATACATTCAAAGCTACCGTTTTAAAAATAAATTGGAAAGTAGGGAAACTTAAAAAAAAAAGTACATTCTGCTATCACTTTATTATAAACACTGTGTATATGTGTGTATGTGTGTGTGTGTGTTTAGAGAGCAGATAATCAAGATTTAAATAAGATGGCAAAAAACTCAGGAAATGTAAATTTTATCAAAAGAACTACAATAAATGTCCCAAACTACAACTATAAACAGATTAAACAGATTTACTAATAGAGTAATTTGCCTAAGTTTCAACAAAACCAACCAACCAACACAAACAAAAAAAACCAAAAAAAAAAAAAAAAACACAAACAAACAAAAAAAACCCACCAGAAAACCCAAAACATCCACAAAAATATCCACCCAAACCTATACTAGAGTATGTGGCAATAATTAATATATTTCTATGGAAACTGTCTCATGCCTTAAGCTCCTAAAATAAAATCAAGGTCACTATGTGACTAATGATAGCACTAGGAGGAAAAAACAAAACACTGAAAATAAGTCTTCAGCCTTGGTTTCAGCTACCTCTTCAAATTAGCATTAAGTACTTAATATCAGATACAACATTTTTGGCTTGTTAGACCAGTAAGACATGTTTTTCCATTGGCCAAATGCAGCTGAAGAAGCAACTGTGAACAAACTAAACGCTGTGACATGAAGCATCTGATTTCCAAGTCTGAGTCAAATATCTAACTGGGCAAAAGGAATGACATCCATCATCCAAACAGGCTCACTTCCCCCAGCCCCCCAAATAAACAGTAGTTACAATAGCAAAGAATTTTTTTGTTGTTTTGGGGTTTTGTTTTTTTTTTGATTCTTTAGGGCCAACTGTGAAAGAGGTCAGCAATATATTAACAGCAGCAATGGACAAGGAAGAGCAAAATAGTGGATGAAAGAATCTTGCTGGACGTTTGTTTGTTCATATATATATACATATATATATATATATATATATATATATATATACACATACATATATATATATATATATATATATATATTTTGTTGTTGTTGTTGTTTGTTTGTTTGTTATTAGCCAGAAAACTGCAGCTGGCTTATTTGGAAATTTCAGGCACACGTCTCATCTCCTTAGATCCTTCACAGATTTAGAATTCAGTCTACCTGAGGGCTTTATAGCCAGGTAAGAAAGCTTTCTTTATCTAGCTTGGTGGCAGCCAAAACAGATTCCATGTCATTAAGGATGTCAGAACTCAGAGCTTCCTGAAGACTGGGCATCAACTCCTCTCCTTCTATGTTCATTCCATCTCCTTCCAGTGTTCCAAGGTCCACATTTGTCCCAGGAATGGCTTCAAGGTAGTCTGGGAAACGGTTCTGCTGTGAGGGCAGGGTGCTTTGGTTGATAGTATCACCTGTATCCATTTCATCAACACTGTTCAGGAAGTCATCTGGGGTTCGAGGGACACTGTAGCTGCTCATGCTTAGTCCACTGTCTGTACTCTCATCTCGAGAGTGATAGGTGCCACTGTTAAGAAAGGGATCTGAGCTATTGGTCGTCATTGTTCTCAATTCCTGAGACATCCCAGGAGAAGACACCGGATTTTGAGTTCCACCATCCTGCTCCAGTGTTGGTAATTGGCTACGAAGAGCTAATTCCTGCCGAAGCAGTTCTTGCTGTTTCAATCGCAGTCTCTCTTTCTCCATCTGCAATTGTTGCAGCCTCATCTGTTGCTGCTGGTTGGAGTTGCCTCTACCCATAACACCTCCTTGTGGGCTCTGGGGAGCCAAAGGTGGTGGTTGTTTCACTGGAGCACTCTGACTGATTCTCTGGTTCATGGCAAAACGAGGGTCAAGCCTTGGGTCTAGCCAAGAGGTGGTCTTGTTCTTATGGTTTATATAGTAAATTTCTCCATCCTGAGTCATGGCTTGCTCCCATCCGTCAGGAAGAGGACCTGAGGGCGTGTTCATCAAATTCTGCTGCACCGGTGGACCGGTTGGGGCTGGAACATTCATCTGAGATAGCATGGCCTTCCAGGGGTCTTGCCATGTTGTAGTCTGATCAATGTGATTTAAGAAGTATCTCTGACCAGAAGATGTCTTGGCCATCTCCCAGCCTGCTGGCAGAGGTACATCATCAGGTATCTCAAAAGAAGACTGCCGAAGATGTTGAGCTGTAGGTGTAGCTGCTGGGCCAGAGACTACTCCAGTGGGGGTCAGTGTCCCAGGAGAAACTGCTCCTAGCTGCAGGGAAGCTGGAGAGGAATGAGCTCGAACATGCTGTGGAGTCAGGGCTCCTGCAGTGCCTGCATCAGTACTGGCCTGTCGGGAGTGAGATTTGGGCTCCGGCGGCTTGAAGAAGGAGTCAGGCAGTTTCCGGAGCCTCATGGGCACGGTCTGGGGCACGTTGTTGAAAAGTGCCTCCAGGTCGGTCTCCGAGTCCCCCCGGACGTGTACGATCTGGTGCCCGGCTGAGGGGGCCTGCTGCGCCGCCTGGGACGCCGGGGGTGCCGGCTGCCCAGGCCCGGAAGTCGGGCCCTGCCCCTGGGGGGGCTGTGCGGGCGGCTGCCCTTGGCCCTGGGGGGCCGGCTGGGGCTGCGGCTGCTGCCCGGGATCCATGGCTTCTGCCTCCCGCCACGCGCACCCCCTGGCCAGGCGGCGAGGGCTCGGCCCGGACGCCCCGGCTCGACGGGCCGAGACGCGAGAATCGGCGAGGGCGGCGCTGGGCGGCGGGAGCGGCGCTATCCTCGCTCTCAGGGCCGGGGGGCTGCGCCGCGGCCCCGCATCCCCCGCCCCGGCGCCTCCGCCCCCGCCCTGCGCCCCGGCTCCACTGGTCTGGCCACTGGTGGCTTCTTGATCGGCGGCAGAAGTCATGATTTCCCAGAGCAGCTCGCCTCCCCGCTCGCTCCCCTCAATCCATGTTCCCCTTTCACTCCATTGTTTTCAGAGTTTGGGCAGAAGAGAAAAGCCCCCGCAGAGCCCACATTCTGTCCCGTGCCACCGCGGGGAAACCGAGCGCCGCACAAAGGATGCAGCCGGCTCCAGCTACCCTACTGCGCTCCTGGGCGGGAGTCGCTGGTAGCAGGCGGGCCAATATTT